CTCGGTTTACCAATTGGTCGCTTTACAAATATCTTCTACCGCGACAACTCCAGGAAATTTCCCCACCAAAATAACGCATTTGTTGTGTCCTCCGTCCGTGCCGCATGCCCAGTCCATCATATCTTCCCGACATTCTCTGTCCTGACAGTACCAGGTGACCTGCATGCATCGTTGTGTAATGTCATAAACTCCTAACTCAGGCAAAAGGAACCCCCTCCAAGTCTCTGGGCTCAAACTCAGTTTCGGCGAGGAGTCCGCTTTCCTTCCATCATCACCCCAAATTTGAAAAGCACATCCAAAAACACATTCACCGAATTCAGCGGTGAATTCAACATGTCACGTGACGTGGTTACTGAGGACGGCATTCATTTGTTCCCTGGTCACGTGACCTGCAGACGTCCTAATTGTTTTAGCACAGTGCAAAGTGAATGCGCAAACACTCTGCTTACGTAATGTGTTTAGTCACACCTGCAAAGCGATAAGACGTCACATCGTGCAAAAAAAAAATCGGGGGAATGCTTGCGAGCATTCGGCTCAATATCTTCCGTCTGGTATCCACAAAAATTTTCTTTAAAACGTATAAATCATATATATATTTATTATTCAAGTCTATACACAAACTTTTAAATTGTTGATGTTAAAATTTAAAATTAATATTAATATTCTGCGCCATTCATCGTTATCTCGATGTTACAATATTGCGCTATATATTACTACATGTTTCAATGTCATAGCATCATCTTCAGGTTTTTTATCTTTAAAACTATTCTATATTTATTAATGCAAGCTTTTCATTGATTTATTTGTTTTGTAGATTACTGTTGTGGGTGTTCCTTTGATCTTCTTATTATTTTGCATATTATGTTAGTTGTTCATTATTCAAGAGTTTGATGTGCAGTGTGTCCCCGTCTGATCAGGTGAATGTCAGTTCATGGACTCAAGTTTGTGTATAGACTTGAATAATAAATATATATTTGAATTTTAAACACAAACATGACGCATCTAAACTATAAACTTAATAATAAGTATAAATCATAGTTTTACTGGAATCTTTGAACGTGAAACTTATTCTCTGAGGCAAGGACGGTGCACGAGAACATGGGAGCCGAGTCCTGTTCCAGATTCGTACACCTCAGCTGCTTGATCGTTGAGACGTGTAGCACGCATGGGATAGGTTATAAACAACTGTAAAATTTTACGAAGAAAGAAACTGAAGATAAATCCCTGGAGCCCTGGATGTGGATGGGAGAGAAATTCGTCTTCGGGCTAGTTTCTAGTCATCTGGAGACACTGGAGACGTATAAATAAGGACGTTCCTACGTTATCTTCTTCACAGAAATAAAATGTTTCGACTCCATCATATCCGGAATTGTTTGCCGGAAGTGACGTATGTCACCCACACATGCAATCTGTTTGAACTGACATTGCAACGGTCCTCGGTTTGTTTCCGAGAAACCCGAGAGAAGTGGACCACATCACGACAGAGGGAGCATTACAAAACACGGTGAGATTTGAGGTTCTCACGGCTACGCGTATGAAGAGACTGTCTTCTGGGATGTTGCGCCGTGTAGTCTGGTAGAAATTGACCGACGTTTCAGAGGTGGTTATTGGCTCCATGACCACGCAGCACCCTGATGCTGGATGTAGTGATCATTTTCTAACAGACCGACTGCACGTCGCAACATCCGACAACTAGCCTATTTAATACTGGATGGACTTCGGTCCTCCTCCAACGACATCGAACTGGCATTCTGCCTCGAGCGGTAAACCGAGGCCCTTCGGTGCTATTTTCGCCGTTTCATTCAATCACGCGAATGTTTTTAACTGACATACAATTAATTGTAGATCGTGGACTTCATACTCCAAGCATGTTATTGAAGGAAATTGCTAATACGGTCATAAACAGCATATGAAGCTTCGCAATCGATGCGAGGGACAGAGACGACCATGAATGTTGATGACTCAGGATTCTCTGACGTCATTGTGAATCGACCCGGGCGGGAGGTGAACTCAACCGGCAACGCTGGTTCTCTCGCCATGGCCTCCTTCGATACGTCCTGCACTAAGCAATGTTTCGTTCGTATACGTCGACTGTCGCCTCGAAAACGTTACCAGATTCCATTAAACCTCTGAAGCCGAAGCTCGTCTCTATTTTATTTATGAATTCAGCCCGTACCGCATAGAAAACACAACTCTTCACCATTACAAAGATCGACGGGTTAACCCTCTGAAGCCGAAGGTCGTATAAATATTACGTAAGAACTCAGCCCGTACCGCATAGAAAACACTACACTTCACCATTACAAAGATCGACGGGTTAACCCTCTGAAGCCGAAGCTCGTATAAATATTACGTAAGAACTCAGTCCGAACCGCGAAGAAAACACTACACTTCACCATTACAAAGATCGACTGTTTGACGCTGTTTATGGAAATAATCGCTGTTTACAGTAAGAATATTACGCAACGAACTTAAAGCAGGTGGTACGTACAGTTACCGTAGGTCTTTAAATTGTTAAAGGGACGACACTGACACAAAAGGTTATCATTTAAAAACTTCTTCTGTTCTGTCCGTCGGAAATCGCCCGTATTTAATTGCGTCTGTCAAAACAATAAAAACGAACACGTATAATAACATTCTTATGACAACAATACTGTTTCTTCCCGCTGATTGGTGGTGGCATGCAACGAAGGCTGACGAAATTGAAAACGCAAACAAAATATTGGTCGGGAACCCATAGGGGGGAGAAACCGCCGGGGGACTTACATAAAGACGTATAAAAGACGATAATATTAAAAAATAACTTTTGATGTCTGATGTAAGATCTTGCCGTTACAGAGGCACAAACATTTCGCTAAAGTGCCGATAAACAGTTCATTTAAAAAAAATTCCAAGTTTTAATTTGAGAAATAACTCACAAAAATTTGTCAGAAAATTCAAAGCGTCTCTTGTAAGAACAACAAACATCTTAGTGGAGCAAACCCTTCTTCAGAATCTAACATTTGCTCAGCCAGCCAAGAAATTAACCACTGTTTAAGGAACGCGAAGATTCTTACCACAATTTTTAACGCGTGTGGTCAGAACCAGGAAGAAATCCGAGGAGATGAATTGCACTTGTCAGCGACAGAGCCAAGCACAGCTGAAGGGGAGAGAGACTCAAGAACGGAGCTGAGGAGTTCCTCCGTGTTGTCACTCTACTTGTTAACCTTCTGATTTGCATATCGGCAGGCAAGGCCGTTAATGCGACTGCTAACACTAGCCACCGCTTCATCGAGCAGTTTCTGAACAAAGAGCTTCTGACACGCCCATAACCGGAGAGTCGTGTCCACGTCCCATCTCCAAAAACCAGCGACGTATTTCGGTTCAATTTGCTGCTGAGTGCAGAGACTCACTATTGCTACTTGAAACAGCCCTCCAGTGGACATCGAGATCCAAGTTTTTAGGTTCTGAAGCCAGGTCCCCTCCTTCCGAATCCTTTTCCCCTGGATTATCACCTGAAGCAGCCCGTATCTATCAATATTTCTCATGATATGACCGAAATATTCCAACTTTCTCCTTTTTATGGTGTTAGCAACCTCGAAGTCTTTGCAGAGTTTCTCGAGAACTTTGTTGGTTACACACGGTCAGTCCAGGAAATTCTGAGAATACGTCGGTACAACCACATTTCGAAGGCCTCCAACTTTTTTTGAAGAATCTTCGGTCAACGTCTACGATTCAGCGCCGTATAAGAGAATATAACATCTGAGTAGTCTTAACTTGGTATTTCAGTTTAAGTCTCTATTCCTTAACACTGATCCCATTTTGATGAAAGTGGCTCTGGATTTTTCGATACGGCACTTTATTTCCAAGGAGTGATCCCACTGGTCATTAACTGTGCTGCCCAAGTTTGTATATTTCGATATTCTTTCTATATTTTTACTATTAACTACTATCTGACCGGGCAATACAGCATGAACTTCGTTTCTTTTGATGTTACGATCTAAGCCGTATTTTGAGGACCAGGGAACTGCTCATTCACGTGCTCCGTCACATGTCTCTTGAAATGTGGGGTGCCCCTTCACGATGCAAGCACATCTTCAATCGTGTTTTGAACGTTTAAGCCTTTTGCGTCAATCTACCTTTACCAGAAGGACGAGTGAGCACTGCCTGGGAACTGTCATAGTCAAAAACGTTTCCCCATTCATACGGAGTGCCTATCACTGCCCCCCACCCCCTCTCTCTCTCGTTCATTCGTGCTTCAAAGGGTAAAACGAGAAATGCCGTGGGCAGGGTGGAAATTGTTAACAGTGTCGACATGGTGGCATCGCCACTTACCGTGCTCCGTCGGGGCCCACCATCTGGTTCACTCTTGTGTCGTGACTGTCAGACAAGAAGGCGTCCTCCAAAGAAGAATCGGAGGTCGTTCGTGATCGGCAAGATGGCGACTCTCGCTCAGGACGTCCCGCAACTGTTTCCGCTTCTTAAAAAGTGTTCTGCGCCGAGGACCGCACCTGCAGACAGAGTAACAGTTCTGATAAATCCTTATCTCGACCTGGGAGGATAAACCATGCGTGTTGAGTGACGATTTGGTACGGTACGAGAATCCTCAGGTAGGATAGCCGGTAACCCAGTGGAGATTCGAACCAAAAATCCCCCAAGAACATGTCTGAAGTGTTGCCACATTACCACGTAATTCGATAAAAAAAACGGGGAGGGACCAACCAACCAACCAAAAAGCTAACTGAGGGCGGAGGCCTGCGCAAGCGCAAGCATCGTCCCTACCTAGGTGAAACCATTCCTGCGCACAAGGCGCATTGCTGGAAATGGTAAACGGTCTTAATTTAAAAAAA